GTTTTTTTAATTGATTGATGATTGATTCAATCAACTAATTTGTTGATTGTATTAACTTGATTCTTTAGATATTGAAAATTAAATAAATAACATTATGTTAATTTAAGCGTACAGAAACGTTGCTGTTGTTCCAGCAAAAATCTTATTTTCACGTTACCGAGTGCCTAGTAGGTAATTTGCAGATTACCTAGATAATCTGAACATTACCTAGGTAATTTGAGAAATGGAATAATTTTCACAGCTTTAACGGATCACCTTAGTTAATCTGCAGATTAGCTAGGTAATGCGCACATTAACGGATTTCGAGCTTTAGCGGTAACATAGACATTTTTAAGTTTAAGGATCATCATTAAAATGCTAAAAATTTGACACAGAAAATTTGTTACAAATATAACAGGATCTCAAATTTTTTTAGTCGGTTTTATAACCGATTAAAAGAGGTTTTTTTGGATGAATAAACCGAAATGTTGTCCTTCAAATCCTGACACTTGCCCGAGTTATAAAACCAACTGATTATATCTGGAAAATAATGCAAATTTTAGCTTCATACTCAAATTTTTTATTATGTAATATATTTCATATTATCCCAAAATGTATGGTGATTCTGTGGTATTTAACTGCATACAAAGATCACACCAAAATTAGTAAGTACTGAAGCTATTTATAACTTTTAAAATGTATAAACAGTACTTAATGTAAATAAATCTAATTTACTTTTTATTATGTAATATATTTTATAGTATCCCAAAATGTNGAGTACCTAGTAGGTAATTTGCAGATTACCTAGATAATCTGAACATTACCTAGGTAATTTGAGAAATGGAATAATTTTTGCAGCTTTAACGGATCACCCTAGTTAATCTGCTAGATTAGCTAGGTAATGCGCACATTAACGGATTTCGAGCTTTAGCGGTAACATATACATTATTAAATTAATATGGGATGTCTTCGGGATTCTCGAGAACTCTCTGAATCAGGAAGAAAAGGGAATGATGAGAATTATATACCGTGCATTAAATTATGGAAATGTCTAGAAATGTTAAATCGTATGTTAAAACCTGAATAAATTAAATCGAAAATAATTATATGTTCGATTTAATTTATCCAGGTTTTATCCACATTCTCATCTGTAATTTCAAATTATCTTTTAAAAGTTTTTCATAAATCCAAAATATACTTTTTCTTTCTTTATACGTAATATAGAATTAAAAAATGTAATTACGAGTAAGATTTTTTTTGACAGAACAGTAGAAAAAAGTTACAAAAATGCTTGAAAACGGTAAAACTACCTATTAACCAAATAGATAAACCAACAACTTCTCACCGTAATGAGACTCTAGCGCCAGCTATCAAATACCTGACATATTAACTGTACTGTACCTAAAGGCTGGTATACACGGTAAGGAAATTCCCAAAGGATGTGCTTAATAGACGTTTGTCATTCTGTCCTACTGATGTTTAGATCTAACATTAAGCAGGCAAACACGAACAGTAACAAAAAAGAACTTTATTAGAAAAGGTTAGAACTGTCACAGACATCCTCGGGCAACACCCGGACAAAATCCAACGAACTTTCGCGCCTTTTCTTTTTTTGACGTTGCCAGCCACTCTTGTTGGCAAGTGTTGCCAGACAGAGTTCGTGATCTTGGCAATGTTGCCAGACAGTGTTCAGGATCTCTGGCGCTGGCGGCCACAGACGAAAAAAACTCGGATATAACTGGCTGGATCGAACATAGTAATTTACAAAACTTATTAAAATATCTCCCAACGTATAAAGAATTATTTTTATTTAAAAATGGATAGATAGGAAAAAAAATTACGGTTAATCCTCAAAGGATTTTCTTACCGTATATAACAGCCTTTAGACCAGTATATCTATCGATCAGTATATCTATTACATAAGTAACATTATAGTAATTTACTAGGATGGAATATTCTATATATAGCATATGTTAAAGGAGGAGAATTCTTCGAAACAATTTTTTAATATGAACTTTTTATTTATAAATAAATAAAAATTATGGAATAATCCGGGACATTTTATTCAAAACCGGGACAAAAAACCAAAAACCAGGATTTTTCCGGTTAATCCGGGACGTCTGGTCTCTAGTTTTAAGGATTATTATATAGGCTTAAAATGTGGTATGCATTTTATAACTGAATTAAGTTTTAAAAATAAATTTAAACTTATCTTGAATATGGAAACTATGTAAAATCTACACAAAAATAAAAGAAAATAATTTTAGATAATCTTAAAGCAGAGTACTTAATACTTTAAATAAGAGTAAATGAACTTGTAATTTCATCAGATAATAGCTCCAAGATTAACAACGGGAATGATTTACAATAAAAAGAATTGACAGCTAATGCTTATATTTTATTACAATAGACCAAAATGTACACGAAATTATTTGAAATGACCAATTAGAGTTGAGCTCGATTACGCTCAGTATTCGCTCCAAATATGTATTTAAATTGCGTGTTCATTTTTGAACTCAGACACGCAAATTAGTTTATTATTATTAATATAAAGAACGTATTAGTTATTTTATTACAATAGAATAAATTATTAATTTCGAAAATAAATAAAAACGAAACCGAAATTGACGACGTCATTAGTGACGTCTGTTCTGCAAAAAAAGTTAGAGACGAAGATAGGCGAGTACCATGATGGCGACCATTTGCAGTAGTGGTGGCTGGAGTACTTTGCCAAGCATTATCATCATCGAAATCCTTTCCCTGCTGCCGCTTAAAGATCGTCTGAATGCATCGAGGGTCTGTAGAAGTTGGAGAGATTGTTTGTTTCATCCATCGCTATGGCGTCGTGTAGTGTTTAGAGTCAACAGCTGTGTCGACCAGAATGAATCGTGCCGTTTCTTAGTCAATAATTTTGGACGTTTTACTCGAAATGTCGTGATCGAGCTCAATTCTTTAAACCCAAAAGACGTCAGGGAATGTAAAGATATACTGGATGTCCTTACGTATAACAAGAATTTGGAACGGTTGTCCATGAAACCCAATAGTTGCCGTTTAGAATGGATCGAAGATGATTTAGGTCAAGAAGACAATTTGCTTGATATGTAAGATTTTTGTCTTTATCTTAATTACATATTAAACTATTTTAAATTTAAGGAATTTATATATAAAGACCGTTAAGAAGGTTGTTAAAGGCGCGCCTCTGATTTGTTTATTTATTTTGTATTTATTTTAGATAAATTATCCGTAAATATTGTAGATGTTACATCTGGTAAGGCAATAGTCAAATATGGTTTGTTCCAGAAATAGAGAACTGGATACTTCAGTGATGCAATAAGATTTTTTTTTTTTTTTTGTATATAATTCATCTGGAAACAGTAATAATAAATCACTTAACAGTTCTAGATATACAAATAAATTAGGTGAAAATTATGGTATTTAATATCATAATAGATTGAGAAGTTTTTGTTGAAGAAAATAAATAATGTATATTGCATTATAAGCACTAGAAAGTGAACTTAAATGCATCAGCAAACTAGAAAGTTCAGTAAAATGTTTTATAAATTAATTTGGAAAAAGTTAAGAAATATGTTTTTAAAAATTTTATGAAAGTTATTTTGTTCTTGTGGAATGCTAGCAGTGCAAATTGCAAAACTGATCTTGAATCAATACAGTTGAAAGTAATTAATAGTAGGAAAAGTTGTTTAATATTAGTTTTGAAAAATTTTAAATAAGTTGTAAAGAAGAAAATTTTAAGTTTTGGAAGAGTTTATTTTTAGTAAAAAGCAACAAAAATTAAATACTTTCATAATGTGAAAGTTTGTTGTCATGTCGTTTGTCAAAATGCGTTATCTTGAATGGAAAACAAAACAAATTGTACAATATTTGAGTACTTTAAGTTTATGCTCTTTTGAATATGAATAGTGTAAACATAAAATTGCTTCAGTATATATGATTTTATATATTTTTGTTCTGGTAAAGTGTTTTGGTTAAATCACATAAGAATAAAAAAAGAAAATGTATTTTTAAATGTTAGTTATAATTATCTGTTATAAATTTATATTCACATTATCTTTCCTGTTTTTTTTTTTTTGTTTCAGGTAGTTTATAGTTTTCCATTGTAATATTAATGATCATTTTTACTGTAATTATTAATGCTTTTAGCAATTTTTTCTCCCAACCATTTCCCTTTGAAGAAATTGTTTGAATTAAGCATTATGGATTTAAACCAATATGTGATCATTTGTAACTTTTGTAAATTGAGAAATTTTTACAATAGATATTCACAACCTGTTCAAAATTAATGAATAAATCATTTTATTTCCTTTTTAAATTTGAACAAAGTAATTTAAAGCCTTATCTGGTCATAACTAATATTACTTCAATGTTTACGTTATTTGCTGACAATCGGTATACATTCTGTCCAATTAGATGAAATGTTCCTTTGAACTTTCCTATCAAAGCTATTGAATTATTAATACATTAAAGAAGCAGCAGCTGAGAATATATGAAATAACAAAAAATGTATTAAATATTCCTTCCTCATATCTTCTGTGTTTTATAGAAGGGACAACCATTTTATTTGAATGCATTGTTATAAGTAATAGGAATGAAAATTGTTGAAAAGTGAATACCTTCTTAAATAAAAATATCATCTGCATATCAAATAGATGCTACTTGTACAAAGGCAATTAATATTGTTTAAATGAATCCATTTGCTTTTTTTTTTTTTAGTTAAATGGAAAAGAAAATTAATAAAGTTGTTTTTTCCTATTATTAAATATTTAGAATATATTTACTGATGCATTTTTATAACATAATCTTGTGTATTTTAAGAATTAGATTAGATTGAATAACTATAGCTTTTTTTTTTTTTTTTACATTATCAAATAGTAACATCAATGTTGAATGCCAATTTAGTAGAATGCTGATTCTACTTCACAAGTTTACTATAATAGAACAAGTAGATGCAGTTTCTTTTCTGCCAATTTTGCATTTACAGGGATCAAACTAGACTGAAAACATTGTCATTTGAATCTTGGATCATGCAAATGCGAGTCAAGTGCAAAGAATTAAGAGTCAAATTTTAAATATTTATTTCATGACAGTCATTAATTTTGTATAATTCAATACTTATTTATGATTGAGTTTGATTCACATTACTTATTTACAATAATACATTTCATCTATTATACTTTAAAATTATTTGTCATATCTTTTATACATTCAATAGCTTTGCATTTGGAAACCAAAAACCTGATGGGTCATTTAAGGTGATTGTTATCAAGATTTTTATACTATCCTATTTTAAAGCTTCATTGAGAGCACTTTATCCAATTCTTTGCATACCTGCTCTCACATGAAGCACTGCTCCATGGTAAAACTAGGACATAAGCATGATGTGGTTGCTACAATAAATTTTATTAATTGTTTTAAATTCATTTAAGCTTTTAATTTATTTACATTACATTTTTTATAAAAGTTTATAATTTAAATAGCAGGAATGGAAAAATAACTTAATTTTGTTGTGTTAATTTACCAAATTAATCCATTCATAAACATTGATTGTTTTAGGTTTTTGTTTTGTTATTACTTTGTTTTTATTTTATTAAGTAATTAATCAACAAAATTAAAAGACTAATGAATAGTAGCAATGTAGTATTAATAATATGTATATATTATTAAAATAATGAGACTGAAGCAGAAACTTTAGATCTTGAGTAGTATACTCACTTTAGTTGTGTTCCCCTTCAATGTATGATCCTTCTGCTTCCACACAACACTGCATTTGCAACTTCCACTCATCATAACAGTGCTGCAAGTCATCATCTGTAAGGCTACTCAGAAGCTCCAACGTTTTTTTCTTGACAGCAGAAACCGAATTGAAACTGTGTTCCTTCAGAGAAGACAACTTTAGGAAAAAGATAAGTCACACAGAGCTAGTGTGGCAAGTACAGTGGGTGTTCAAGTAGTGTGACTTGAACATTCCATTCATCTTCCATCAGGACAATGCACCAGTCCATTTTGTTGTTCTGATGGAGGATAAAATCATTTTGCTGTGTTGCCACTTTCTTCTGACCCTTTCTCACAAAGATTCCAGAACTTCTTTGTAGTAGTATTGGTTCACAATTTGTTCCACTTTTCATATGTTTCCTCTGTTTTTGATGTGTTGGGCTGTCCAGAATGTTCATCTTTCACATCCTCTTGGCCTTCAGAAAATCATCTGCGCCATTCAAACTCACATGCACGACAAAAACATGCATCTCCATATGCTTTACTAAGCAGGTGCAAAGATTCAGTGGCAGTTTTTTTTTCATTTGACAAAAAATTTTAAGTTGATATGCTGCTCCTCTTTCAAGCTGGACATTTTTTCGACATGCTAACAATATGTCCACTTGCTGCTGCAAGTGGACATACTGTTAGCAATAGTGGTAGCAAGTTGAGACTCACTGTGCTTGTTGATAGCAGGTTGAGACTTACTGTGCTTGTTCTAACTTGTTCAAGGTCATTTACCCACCCACTCACTTCAGCCCACGTGTGAACATTACGTGCAGGCAATCATAGTCTCATTATTTTCTAGCCACACCATGTAAGTAAGTAGTACTATTAATTTATTGTTAAAAAGCTTTTAAGTGTCAGTAGTTCATTAAATTCAGATAATTAAACTATTCATTAGAAGAACTAAGAAGCCCAAAAAGTCATCCAAATGATGATAGTCACAAACCATTTGAACCACTCAAAAAGTAGTCAATTTTCAATTTTTTGCATAATATAGCAACCTGTGTGTTTTATATAGCAACCAGCTCAACCTGTGTGTAATATAGCAATGAGCCCAAACCATGCTACTGACAATGGTGAAAGGTTGCCTCATGTACATTTGTTATAGTGATAATTCTCAAATTGTGAAGTGCCTGTAGTTATGGCTTTAGGAAGTATTCTTAGTCAAAGTTGACTCTCAACTGAAATTTTTCTGAGAAAGTTTCCAAAATATCAGAATTCCTAATTCCTACGAAATTTGCAAGTAAACACAAGCTTTGATTATACTATAATAAAGTTAATTGCAGGGCTGTGGAGTCGGAGTAGAGAAGAATTTCTGCCTAGAGGAATCTTGAGTTTGAAAAAATGTGTCGACTCCGATTTCATCATTTTAAATTTAATTTAGTTTTTTCATGTAAACGAAAGAAAATTAATTTTATATTTATTAATTTTTAAATCTTTTTACATTTTGTTACAATTTATTTTATTTTAAATACAAAATGCGGCAATTTAATTTATTAAATATGTAGTTTTCTTTGTAGTATTTGTTTTTAGTTCTTAAATTATTTTGATCCAGTTGAATTTGAATATTTTTGAATCATTCCTTTATTATTCCTGCTCTAAATAAGTACTCTATTTTTATGAATGAGCCAGACTAATTGATCAGAGTATATATTTTTCTTTTCTGAACAAGGAGCTGAAGTAGCTAGATCACACACTGTTTAGTTGTACTAACTTTTCTGGAAAGGTAAAATTGAAGTGTAAATGCTGTAGAATAAAAATAGGTAAATGTAGAATTTTATCACCCCCCTTTTTCTTATTAAATATTTGTTTAATATTTATTTGTATAAAAAAAAATTAATTTTTATGTACAGTGGTACCTCAGGATACGAACGCCCCAGCATACAAAATTTTCAGGATACGACATGAAATTTGAAGATATTTTTGCTCCATGATCCGAACAAAAACTCACCATACGACGTTACATTAGTTTGCAGTGCCATTTTTTATTCACTTTTGTTCATTGGTCTCAGTCCGCGTGTTTGCTTTGTCGTGGAAGGATCTCGCTTGATGAAGGAAATCTTGAGGTATTATCAGAAAGTGACTAATTTTATTGAAAAGAAACATCCCGGAAACACTGGTTGTATTGCTGCTTGGAGTAATGACATTTGCCTAAGTCATTTTAGAAACATTTTAAAAAGTAGGCAAAGCCAAACCTCTTTGGATAGATATTTTACCAAGCAACCTCTATTTAGTGAAAGTGCTGGTGGAAGTGAAGGAAAGAAAGCAAAAAGCATGAATAAAAATGTAAAAAAATATAAAACAACACTAATTTTTTTATGTTTTC